TCTGAGGGAGACAGCCCAATGACACCATGATTTGGGACATTTGGCCTTCATAACGTCAAAGAATAAATTTCTGTGGCTTTAAGTCATCAAATTTGTGGGAATTTGATAGGGAAGCCCTAAGAAGCCAACACACCTGCTGGCACCTGCTGTGCACTGGGACTTGGGCCCGTCCTCTCTCCGCAGGCCTCAGAGTGACTCTCGAGAGGGCCGGCTCTACCCAGACCACAGATAAGCCCTGGTGAGCCGATCAGCACCACGCAGGCCAGCAAGTGGAGGATCCAGATCAAATCCAGGCAGCTGCCCCAAGGCACAAAGGGTGCCTTAATTAGGGGAACGGAGATGCCTCTCACCCAGTGCCCGCCTTGTACCAGGCACCAGCTTGACTGTTGGTGAACTTTTACTCACTGCTTTCTTTTCCACAATCCTAGGGGGAGGGTGTCACATAGTGAGTGGTTCCTAGGGACAGTGACCACCGCAGCTGCTGGGCTGGCCATCTACACTTCCACAGATTCGGTTTCAGCCAGAGAGGAGACCCTTTTCCTCCCTCCCCTCTCTATCTTCCTTCTCTCCCCCTTTCCTTTATTTTATCTACTTTCATTATGAAGGATAGATTTGGTGAGATATTTGGGGCACATTCATGAAGGCAGCTCAGAGAAGAAGTTCCAGAAGTGGCATTATGAACACCGAACTAACTTCATACTGTTCTAACTTCTTGTTCTTTTTTTCCGATTATAAAAATTGACCTGGCACAGTGGCTCACGCTTGTAACCTCAACACTTTGGAAGGCCGATGCAGGCAGATCATGAGGTCAGGAGTTTGAGACCAGCCTGGCGAACATGGTGAAACCCCATCTCTACTAAAAATACAAAAATTAGCCGGGAGTGGTGGTGTGCACCTGTAATCCCAGCTACTGGGGAGGAATGAGGCAGGAGAACTGCTTGAACCCCGGGAGGGTTGCAGTAAACCGAGATTGCACCATTGCACTCCAGCCTGGGCAACAGAGCAAGACTCCATCTCAAAAAAAAAAAAATGCACATTGTAAGAAAAATACTTTGGAACATTCAATAAAAATAAATTAAAACAGAGATAACACTGATAATATTTGAAGTTTTCACAATTTTTGTGGGTGTGTGTAGACATAAAACTGTGGAAAATATATGTGCATCCTTTATATTTTCTATCTGCCTGTCAAATAATCCACGCTCCTCACTGGGCTGCTGTCAGATGCAGCTTTGCATTACATGTTTCTAACCTAAGGTCCTGTTACCAGTGTTTTCTGCATCAGGAAACTCCTTCCCCAGCGTGGTTTCTTTTCTTTTTTTTTTTTTAGACGGAGTCTCACTCTGTCGCCAGGCTGGAGTGCAGTGACACTATCTCGGCTCACTGCAACCTCTGCCTCCCTGGTTCAAGCTATTTTCCTGCCTCAGTCTCCCGAGTAGCTGGGACTACAAGCTTGTGCCACCACCCCAAGCTAATTTTTGTATTTTTAGTAGGGACGGGGTTTCACCTTGTTGGTCAGGCTGGTCTCGATCTCTTGACCTTGTGATCCGCCCGCCTCGGCCTACCAAAGTGCTGGGATTACAGGCATGAGCCACCGCGCCCGGCCTCCCGGCGTGGTTTCTAACAATGAAGACAAGCTCAATGTGTGCAGTGCCCATTTAAGGAATTCCTCATTGTCAGGAACTTACAGGTTGGTCCTTTTCCCTGTCCCCGGCATTACTGAGATGGGCGTCTTTACAGCATCTCTGGGGACTCCACCGCCCAGAGGGAAGGAATCTGAGAAGCTGGAAGTGCAGGAGCTGAGGGAGACCGCGCTGGGAATGAGCGTCTAGCTCTGCGTGTGGCCCACCCCATTGGCCAGCTCTGATTGGCATATGGAACGCCCAATGGCCACACTGCCCATGACGTCATCCCCAAGTCCTGGGTGGGGTCTGCAGACTTCCCCCAGGAGCCCCCATCTCCAGACCTCGGTGTGACTGGGCTGGGCCCCTCTCTTGCCGGTCCCCTCCAGAGAGACCCTGGGCCCTTTCCAGCCTCGCTGGCCCTATGGGGAACCCCAGATCTTCTCCATCACCCTCTTCTCACCTGCTTGTCCCGCTGGTCTTGTCCTTGGGTCTGAGGCGGACACATATGGGGCCCGATTTGCCCTATGGGGAGAAATCAGGAAGAAGTCACATCTCAGGTCGGTAAGAAACACAGGAGACGCCTGTAATCCCAGCACTTTGGGAGGCCGAGACCTGCGGATCACAAGTTCAGGAATTCGAGACTAGCCTGACCAACATGGTGAAACCCCGTCTCTACTAAAATTACAAAAATTAGCGGGGCATGGTGGCATGTGCCTGTAACCCCAGCTACTCAGGAGGCTGAGGCAGGAAAATCTCTTGAACCCAGGAGGCGGAGGTTGCAGTGAGCCGAGATCCGTCATTACACTCCAGCCTGGGCAACAGAGAGAGACTCCGTCTCAAAAAAAAAAAAAAGAAAAGAAAAGAAAAAGAAATAAGAAAGAAAAAGAAACACAGGAGAGTCCTGGGTAGAGAGAGGTGAAGGGGCCCAACTTCTCATTAAGTCCAAGCCCAATCCCTCCCCACATGGGACCCTAGGAGTTGGAGGAGATGGTCTGGGGGCTTCACCTCTGCACCAAGAGTCCTCAACATCAACACACTTTTAAAGATTTCCGAGGGCACTGGAGGCAGATGCCATTGTGTGGGGGGAAAGAGGCCGGGTGAAGCTGAAAAAGGACTTGGCACTGCTGCCCTCATTACCAGTGACAATAATAATGGGGAAAATAACAATCATTTATTTCACACCTATTACATGGCAGGCCCTATGCTAGATAGTAATATCTTTAACTGTCCTAACAGCCAAGCAAGACAGATATTTTAACCCCAATTGCAGACGAAGAAATTAGGGTTCAGAGAAGTGAAGTTACTTGTCCCACATCACTCAGCAAGAATACAACCCACCCAGCAAGAGGTGAGTGCAGAGGTGAGGGTGGGGGTCCAAGTTCCTGGCTCCTGCACATGGATAGAAATGCATGTTCTCTCTTGCTCTGTGTGTGTGTGTGTGTGTGTGTGTGTGTCTGAGTGAGTGTAACACATCTCTGGGTCTGTGCAGAGCTGTGTCTGTGGGTGAGGTGTGCCAGTGTGTGAGCTCATAAAAGTCCTGCTGAAGGTCCTGACCCCTGCCCTCTCCTCCACCCCTGCTCTGGGAGTTTCTGACTGAGCCTCTGGATGGGGATGGTCCCAGCCTCCTCCCCTCCTTTGGTCCCAGCTGCCCTTCCCTCAGCCCTGGGAAGCTCATCCAGCATCCAGCATCTCTTACCCATGAGCCCCCTCCACAGGCTCCGTCTAGGTCTGAAAGGTCTATGAGCTGCCTGGGGTCCTCCAGGAGGAGGGGTCCCTCCAGAGACACAGCCGCCTCCTCTGCTCCCTCCCAGACCTGTGTCTCCTGGCACAGAGGCTGCTGGTCTCGTCTCCCAGCCCTCAGGGTGGCCTTTCCTGCCCAGGGTGGACTCTGACCAGCAGGGGTGGGCTCTGGGGAGGGCAGCTCTTGGGAGCCCAACCTTATCTTTGTAACTTGATGTTGCCTTTAGTTTATTATTTATTTATTTATTTTTATATTTGCTTACATTATGTTGACCTTGTTATAAAGCAAGCCAGAAAACAAAAACACAAAAATCAAAGCTCGCTGTTGGGAAAATTGCGAAACACGGAAAAGCACAGCAAAGCCTTAGATTTCCAGGTGTCCTGTTTCCGCTTTTTCGTTTGGTTTTTCTGCTCAGGACCTCGCCTAATTTTTATTTTATTTTTTTGAGAATTGTCATACTGGTTACTTTTATTTCCTATAAAAGTGACGTTAAAAGAAGAGGTTGAAGAGTTAAGTGTACTGGATTCTCACACGCTTGCCGAGTCACAGGATTCAACCACTTTGATAATTTTTTTTTTTTAACTGATAAACAGGACACGCATATTACGACCCTCACATTGAAGCCTGATTTCGTATGAAAATGATACTGAAAGAAGGGGTCGAAGAGTCAAGTGCACTGGATTAGCACACATTTATCATCTTACAGGATTCATCCGTTTCGATAATTTTTTTATTGATAAACAGGAAATGCATATCACAAGCCTCACATTGAAGCTCAGTACACATTCCAACCCCGACAACAGTGTGCAAATGAATGTGCCAAATGATCTCTGGGAACTCACGTCTCCTGGATCACCTACAATATGAGCTTCGTGCCTCTGGCTGTGACACGGTTCATCCCCTAATAGTGCACACGCTTCTGCAGAGACCGAGTCCATTTCCAAACCTCCTGCAGGTTTGCTCTCTTGGCCAGGATGGCGCCTCAAGCAGGACCCTTTGTGGTTTTCACCGGCAGTGCTAGAAGCTTTGATTCAGAGGGAGCACAGAGCAACTAAAAACAAAACCAAAACAGTTCCCAGATAAAGAGAAATTTACAACAATTGCTAGGAGGGAAACACCGACTTTTCTTAGCGTGGGAGGCAGGCTGAAAGGAAGACCCTCAGATTTGTCACAGATTGTTTCTTCATGCGTCCGGCCAGAAACGTACAAACCAGGCAATTTAAAGACAAGTCCCCAAGGCGGGGAACTGTTGGCTTTCTGGGATAATTTTAAGTTCCCCACCAAGGATCCTATTTTATCACTTGGGTGGTGAGTAGAGAAACAAACACAAATGCCAACAAAAAAATCCAATAAGCTGGTGCCATCCTGACCATTCCTGGCATGAGTGTTGCCTGCATCGCAGCACACACGGTCTTCCCTGCTATGGCTGGTGGGCGAGTTCAGGTTCTTGACTTTGCCTCAAAAAAAGAACTTGAGAGTGAGTCCAAGGTAAAAGTAAGCAAGAGAGTTAATGGCAAAGTGAAAGTGCACCCTGACAACTGCTCAAACATGAGACGGCACTGACTGACGCTGGGGAAACTCCCTTTAGGCGAATCTTCTGTGATTACTCATGCGGGGGTGGGACGGTGTTGCTCTTAAGCATGTTCCGGGTGGTCTCTTAGGCCCGCATGCGCAGTGGCTGTACACGCTAGTGCATACCTCGCTGTCTCATTAGCACCTTAAGTCTCCACGCGGGGGTGTGTTTTCACTATTATAACGAGCCTAGGTCAGCCCGAGGACACTAACTCAGCATGGGTTTCCGCACTTGCACGAATTTGGGGAATTTCCCTTCTTCGCTTCTACCTCCTTGCTGCAGGGTGTTTTGACCACGAGCCCAGAATGCGGTTTGTGCGATGTCGGGCGGTTTGTTCTCTCCGTCTATTTAGCAAGTTTGTTTCCCTTTAAGGGAGGCTGTGACCCGCCTGTCTGATCTACTTCCGCTGCAGCTGCACCAGGGAGCAACACAGGAATTTAGCAGGAACGCTGGAAGAAACCACAGACCTTTCTAAAGAAGCAGTGGGCAGCAGCCTACCCCAGGAGCCAGGCAGAAAACGGTGACTGCCCGCAGTGTGGGAAGGGGAGAGACTGAATCAGCGATGTGTATTCTTTTGTTGCCTTTCCTTCGGGTTGAAGAGCACTTAGGTTGATTCTGTATCTTTCCAATCATGAATTTGCTCAACTTTTTGCTGCTTCTTCTCCCTCAGGAGCACCTATGAGTCTCAGATTTTGGGCAAGGCTCCTTTCCCCACTCAAGATGATATTGCAAATCTCGGTCCGGAGCTTCTCTCAACCCGTGACCGCCTCCTGAGTCAGCTGACTGGCTTCTGCAAGGTACCCTGTGAGGCAGCATCGGGAATGGCTTCCCTCTGTCCCTGCTGGAGCCTGGGAGTGCATGCCAAGCACATCCCAGTGTGGCTCCTTCTTACTGTAGCAGGACGAGCCGCAGACAAAACCCCTCAGACGCCGAGTGGTAGAAGGAAGGGCCTTATTCAGCTGGGAGCATGGGCAAGCTACTGCCTTAAAATCCGAGCTCCCCGAGTGCACAATTTCTGTCCCTTTTAAGGGCTCACAACACTAAAGATTTTACATGAAAGGGTCGTGATTGATTTGAGCAAGCAGGGGGTCCGCGACAGGGGCTGCATGCACCGGTGGTCAGAGAGAAACAGAACAGGGCGGGGAGTTTTACAATGTTCTTCTATACAATGTCTGGAATCTATGAATCACATCGGTTTCTAAGTTATGAGTTGATTTGTAACTACTGGGTTTAGGCCAGGCAGGCCCAGGCCTGGTTTCGGGCCTGGCACCGGGCTGCCTGTCTTTGGTTTTACTTCCTTGTTTTTTTCTTAAAACAGGTACTGAGTATAAAACAATGTAAAACAATGTGAGAGGGTCTCTCTCTTTCCTCATTATCTATTCCCCAGCGCTCCCTAAATCAGCTCCAGTGCTGGGCAGGGTGAGGGCTCCCCCGTCCTGTGGCCTGGACCGTGTGGCACCCCAGTGGGAGTGCACATCCCTGAGTCCGTCTCTCCGCTTCCCACACCGCGGGGACTCACCGTTTTCTGCCTGGCTCATGGTGTAGGCTGCTTCTTGAGAAAGGTCTGTGGTTTCTTACAGTTTTCCTGTTAAGTTCCTGTGTTGCTCTCTGGTAAAAAGCTCACAACATAAATCTTTATACACTGTTTCATCTTTCCAAGGTGGGAGAGCCGTGCTAACAATGCCTGCAATCTGCCATCCGCTCTTTTCAGTTTTGAAGTGTTATCTACACTCATGCACATATACATAATGTTTACCAAAGTGGGATCATTTTCTTAAATGTCCTTCTTTATTAGGAATTCTGAAACGTTAAGGGCAGATTTAATCAGAGGAAGGTGAATATACAGCTATGGGTGTCTAGCATATATTTACAAAATATCTCTAAAGTCTTCTGTATCTAGATAGATTTACGAAATGTCTCTGAAGTCTTCTGTTGTACTCTGAAAGTCCATATGAATATTTGTGGCCTATGGAAAAACACGTTTCTGTTAGTTTCAATAGGAAAATAATGCATTCATTGTCACTGAAGTTATTTGATTGACCTGACTCAATATTTGAGTATAAATGGAAGCCCCAGAAGATGTTCAAAGTGGACCTTCTGCTTTAGGTCCTCTGAAGCACTTTTCACCCCCTGCCCTTGGGTCCTGGATTCTCACTGGGGAAGCACAGCTGTGCACCATTACTGTTAATTATTCATGGCTGCATAGTATTCCACTGAATTTGATGTGTGTTAACTTATTCAACCAATACCCTATTTGGGAGCATTAAGCTTTTTTCAATTTGTTTTGAAACAGGGTCTTGCTCTGTTGCCCAGGCTGGAGTGCAGTGGCACGATCATGGTTCACTGCTGCCTCAACCCTCTAGGCTCAGGCAGTCCTCCGACCTCAGCCTCCTGAGTAGCTGGGACCACAAGCATGCACTACCATGCCTAGCTAATTTTTTTGTTTTGTTTTGTTTTTGTTTTTGTTTTTTGGTGGAGACAGAGTCTGCCTATGTTGCCCAGGCTGATCTCAAACTCATGGACTCAAGCAATCCTCCCACTTCAGCCTCCTTAAGTGCTGAGATGTAGGCTTGAGCCACTATGCCCAGTCAGTTCTCTCCATTTTAAAAAAATATATAGACAATTTTTCCCAGAAGCATATGACGGAATAGACCTAATTTTTAGAGCAGTTTAGGTTCACAGATTGAGCAGAAGGTACAGAGATTCTCCATGTGCCACCTGCCCCCACACATGCATAGCCTCCTCTATTATCAGCATCTCCCACCAGAGTGGTACATTTGTCATATTTGATGAACCTCCATTGATACGTTATTAGCACCCGAAGTCCATCGTTTATATCAGGGTTCACTATTTTGAATATACAGCAGCATGAACAGGTTTTGCCTAGTCCCATTTGTAGATCCCTGATGAATCCCAGCAGTCGACTTGTGTGGGAAACACATGAACCTTACCCAGAGAGAAATCTGGCCTTCCGGAGCACCTTGTGCAAAACCCTGTCTCTTCAGTCGGGAATAGCAGTATCCAGGGCTTACCTGGGGGCAGGAGGCAGCCTGGGGAGCAGAGCCAAGGCGCTCTCAATCCATTTCTGGAGCCCAGCTTTGTACCTTCTTATCAAGAGAGCAGAACGTCACAGTCCTGCCTGGTGCAACCAGAATGGACACTAATGAACAGCCATTCCTCCCCATTTATCAGGCCTGGAGACCAAATGGAATATTAACCTGGGATTTTTGAAGAGTTTTACACAAGGTGGGGTTCCCTACCTGCTCCCTACCCGCATCGCTGGGGCCCTGTCTGGGCAAACACCACCACCCCAAATGCATCACACCACTAGGGGGAGCCATAGAGTTGCACAATGCATCAACCCTAATCTTTGTCTACAGCCTCCTGGTAGGGGTAAGAAGTGGATAGAGAAGGTGAGAGGCAGGACGCCCCAAACGGCTTCCAGAGAAAATGGAAGTGGGTAAAAAAATGTGTCATTAACTATAAATAACATTACGAATAAACTCAGATAATAACTACTTCCTATAGTTATCATTCCTGTTTGGTGAGATTGTAAATCTTTATTTTGGGGGGTTTGTTTTTTGTTTGTTTGTTTAGTTGTTGTTTTTTTCTTCTTTTTTAGGACGGAGTTTCACTCTCGTTGCCCAGGCTGAAGTGCAACGAGATGGTGCGATCTTGTCTCACTGCAACTTCTGACTCTCCGGTTCAAGGGATTCTGTCGCCTCAGCCTCCCAAGTAGCTGGGATTACAGGTGCCCGCCACGATGCCCAGCTAATTTCTGTATTTTTAGCAGAGACAGGGATTTACCTATGTTGGCCAGGCTGGCCTCGAACTCCTGACCTCAGGTGATCCACCCGCCTTGGGCTCCCAAAGTGCTGGGATTACAGGCGTGAGCCACTGCTCCCAGCGAGATTGTAAATCTTGACATAGATTAGTCTCTGAGTGACAGGGTGGGAGTCAGGTGTCAGGAAGCATTTGGGGGTCAAAAAGGATGGAGGAGATTGGTGCGGGGATCCCAGTAACTCTCTGGGTGAGCAACAGGGGGCGCCCTGACCAAGGAATGTTGAGTTGGATACACAGACATAAGGGGGCATCACAAGGCTGTGGGAAGTCCACATACTCTGCCTCAGAAGGGAAATTACTTGATCTCTATGTGCCTCAGCGTCCTCATCTGCAAAGTGGACATCAGAACTCCTACGTTTATGAGCCCGAGAACAAAAACCAGGCAGAATAAACGAACAACCACAGGAACAACAATAAACAAGAACCAAAAGCAAACAGAGAGATGAGCCGTTCTGTCATCGGACCCTGAAATCCAGCCACAGTTAAAGCTAGGTCTACCCCTCAGATTTCCCAGACAACAGAAATCAATGCTTCTTTTCGTTAAAAGCCAAAAAAAAAAAAAAAAAAAAAAATGCCTGCTATACCATTGGATAGAAACAACTATGATTTTTAACGTGAACATTAATTCTACTCTTGTGATTCCTGGGCATTGCCTGATGTATGAATTGTGGGAGAGGCAGTGAGACCTGCTACAAAGCCCTATGGAGATGGAGATCATGCAGCAAATGGCCAAGGGCCATGAGCTTTAGAAAACCTGTCCTGGGGCAGTGCGCAGTGGCTCATGCTTATAATCCCAGCACTTTGGGAGGCCAAGGCAGGCGGATCACGAGGTCAAGAGATCAAGACCATCCTGGCCAACATGGTGAAACCCTGTCTCTACTAAAAATACAAAAATTAGCTGGGCATGGTGGTGCATGCCTGTAGTTCCAGCGACTCAGGAGGCTGACACAGGAGAATCACTTGAACCAAGGAGGCAGAGGTTGAAGTGAGCTGAGATCACGCCACTGCACTCCAGCCTGGTGACAGAGTGAGACTCCATCTCAAAAAAAAAAAGAGAGAAAAGAAAAATAAAAGAAAAAAGAAAGCCATGCGCAGTGGCTCACATCCGTAATCCCAGCACTTTGGGAGGTCAAGGTGGATGGATCATTTGCGCCCAGGAGTTGGAGACCAGCCTGGGCAACATGGCGAAACACCATCTCTAAAAAATAGGAAAGAGAGAAAACCTGTCCTGATAAATTATGGTGGCATCTCTACATGCAAACCTTTCTCCATAGAAGGCACATTCCCATCCGCTTAATGCTGCTCATCCTCCTAAAGGAATTGAATGAAGCTGGGTGCGATGGCTCACACCTGTAATTCCAGCACTTTGGGAGGCCAAGATGGGAGGATTACTTGAGGCCAGGAGTTCGAGACCAGCCTGGCCAACATAGCAATACTCCATCTCTACCAAAAATTCAAAAAACTAGTGGGACGTGGTGACACATGACTGTAATCCCAGCTAGTTGGGAGGCTCAGGTACAAGAATCTCTTGAACCAAGGAGGTTGAGGCTGCAGTGAGTCAAGATCATGCCACTGCACTCCTGCCTGGGTGACGGAGAGAGACTCTGTCTTGAAAAAAAGAAAGAGATTGAATGAGCTTTTTGCCCAGTGAGGAAAGATTTCTTGTTTGTAAATTCATGTACTCTTCCTTGTTCATCAAAAGTTATTTTCTATACACTTCACATTCTCATTGATTACTAAGAGAAATTCCTTGTACATATCAAGCTTGATTAGCTTGCACTCTATGCCCGCACATCCCTATGTGTCTCACCATGGCGTGATTCCCTGGCCACCTTACCTTTTGAGCTTAAATCTTCCTTGGAGAAATCAGAATAACCTCAAATGAGAGCATAGTTTTCCACTAATTCCATGTGCATCCTCATATATTTTCTCTGTTTCAACTTCAAAGTGTTAT